CATGCTAATATCTCAGTGATAATATTTACAATAAACCATAAATATAATGAATTGTTAGTGAATAATTGATGTTTTTCAATTTAAAAAACGACAATTAACTCCACTTTTTTACAACAATAATAATTAATCATTTTTTTATAAATATACAATATATATTACTTTTTTAGCTTTTTTTTTTATGTTAAATGGACTCTATGTATCAAATATGATATAATAAATATAAATATATTATATAGTATAATTATTTAGGAGAAAAAAATTAACGTGTGTACTTAAAATATTCACGCTAAACAAAATTTCTCGCTCCGCGAGATAAATCTCTAACTTTAGGGTTGGAAACCATCAAGTCGGGACTAATTAGGCTGATGGACACAATTGTGGTAGTTATTCGTGAATAAACAATAATATTATACTAATCAATAATTTTACCAACTTTTTCGTGTGTTATATGATTAATAGGCTCCAGTGGGCACCTATTTTGTTTGTAGTTGTGCCACGTGCACATTACTAACAAAGTGAGATTGGGTTTGTCCTCCACTTAATGGGACCTTAAAAACAAGCGTTCGTTTTTAGGTAATTTTAATGTTAGACATGCTATTTTTTTAAATCATTTTTGTGCATTACTCTAATATAGACCGTTAGATTTGTAGGTCTCTCAGAGCTTACTAATATCCAATGGCTCTGATTGTATCACATGAAGTGTTGTAAGAGAGATAATACATAAAAGTGATATCCACAGTATTATTCAAAAAAATTATCTCTCTATCCCAACCTCTCACTATACAGACACTAATGTCTCTATTCCTATCTTTCTCCCACTTTCATGTACATGCTTACCTTAAAACTTTCTCATCTTTTTCCACCACTTCACATCTCTATCTATTGTCTTCCACCTCTATCTCACTCCCTCATTATTAGTAGCATAGACTCAAGTATTGTAAGACCACATGTACTCTTAGCAGGAAAAACATGTCTTCTGAAAAGAAAAGTGTGTAGATTTGATAATAATTTCAGCACTGTTGACCTATGTAGTTTTAATGTGACTTCTTCTACTATCATCCACACACTCTAATTTATAAGGAGATTTGGTTGACTAGGATACTGATTACTCCTGTTTATCAAAATAATGAACCACTTTCTTATAAAGAGATCAAAAAAGTTGAACCCCAAAGGGGGAAAAGACAGAATTTTTGAAGAACTCAATTTTGGTTCCCATATTGTTTGGTAGAGAATGTTCAAATCTAATGGCTTAAATCAAATATAATCGGTTACCACACGTCACACAAATGTAGCAAAAGCCCAAAATGACAAGACATGACTCTATTAACACCTCCAATTTAAAATCCGTTTTGTAGAACTCAATGAAGCAAATGCAAATTGTATATTTCAGCTATGTACTTTTTTTTTTTTTTTTGGGAAGGGGGTTTGAACTCTTAAGCTTGAGAAGATAAAATCTTTACAAAAAAAGGAGTACTATTAGACTAAAGGTCCGTTGGTCTCAACTATGCACTTCAAGTGCTATGAAAACTCCCTACGAGTCAACAAGGTCTATACAACTAACTCAAAATCTGTAAAACTTGAAAGTATCGTTTCACTTTAAATTTCTTATCCACATATCCTTATTTTATTTTTTTTTACCAATGGTTGTAAGAATAGCTTGCTTGGTTGGGAACACAGGTAGGGTTAGGCAGAGAATTTTGAAGATTTAAGCAACACGGATAAAAAAAAGGTTGTATAACTTTTTTGGGGAAAATGATATTAGACTCCCAAGAATTTGATTAATCATTTCACTACAATTGAATAGTGAATCTGCTCAATTCAATGCCAAGAAATCAGAAGTCCTAATTTTCTCCAAAAAAAAAAAAAAAACCAGTAAGTCGCCAAAAATAATCACCCATTAATTGTCCTAATAGAGAATTGATCAAATAATCATAAATGGAAATGAAATATAAAAAGCAGGACTTAATTGTCATAATACAAAAATTTATATATGACTTAAAGATTATTTTTCTTCAGAAAAAATAGAAAAAAAGGTCAATAAATTTAATGGTGCTTTTAGCGACTATATCTTTCAATTATTTCAAAATCGGCCACTTTAAATCCATTCTAAAAGTTATTTGTATCAAAAGTACTTTCATTTTCTGGTTAATGTTGTATAAGAGTTAGCACTTCATTTTTCGAACGAACAACTGTTTGAAAATACGATAAATATAAAAATGAATGACCAAAATAAATCTATGGCTGTTTACTAAATGGTTGAGTAATTTGTGCATCTCTCTTATTTAAGATGCAATTGAAATTTCTTATACCCACTCAAGGATTAAAATTTTGTTTCGGTATGTTGTTTCGATCACCTAAAAAATGAAAACATCTCTGTTGTTTTTCGAAAACGTTTCGGGAACATAATGAAAAAAAAAAAAATTTATGAATTATCTTTTTAAAACATTGATTGAGATATATTAAAATATCTTGAAACATTATGAAATAATTGTGCAAATGCATTAAAATATTATAAAATATTTCAAAATATTATGGAATATCTCAAAATATTAGAATTTCGATTCCTTCACAGTTTCGTTTCAGTTTTCTTGAAAATGGAAACGTTTAGAACGTTTCGACCGTTTTGAAATGATATTTTAATTCTTGTATATCCTTGACTGATCTTACCATTAAAGTAACTAAAAGGATGAAATTGTACGGTTATTTACTTAAATCCCACAACCCAATTTAAAATAGCACATTCTAAATTGTCTCAAAGTTCCCATTTCCTTATTTTAGTAGTGACTAAAGGTAACCCGTACTTAAAGATACGGTAAAATATGAATAGTTTGAAAAAAATATTAGTAGTCATTGGATGAGTTTATTTGAAAACGTCAAATAAGCTGATTGAAGATTGCTCTGTTTTATATTATAAATTTGGATGCATCATGTGTACGATTATAGAAGTGACAACATAAATAGAAAAGAGGGGAAAAGAAGAAAAATTAGTTGTGTAAACTATAAAGTAAGTCATGAGAGTCTCCAAATGGAAAAAGGAACACAAAGGACATTGAAATTGTAATGATCTCCAAAAGAAAAAAGGAGCAGAATAGTGCATTGAAATTGTGACTAACTTGACATTAGATTTTATATTTAATTTGTTAAGGGGATATACTTGTCTTTTTAATTTAATATTTTAGGATAAATTTGCCTTAGAGTAGTAGTCTTATAGCACATGGATATTTTTTAAAAATATTTGATTTTTTTTTGGTTGATGTCACTGTTTTCCATTAGTCTTTGGAGTTCTGTCTTGACACTATCCAGATTCTTTCCCACCAAACCAGTTTGTAGTTGTGTCTCCATAGCTTTAAAAGACTTCAGCAGCTTTATTGAATCCTCTTCAAAGATAGCAGCTTGCACCCCTTGATGAATAGGAAAACAAATAGCTTCCTTCATAGCAGTGGATTCCACGTCCATGCTCATCTCCTTGCAACTAAATTTCACTACCATTCCAGCCACAAACTCACAGTTGTTATCTCTGATAACAATTCCAACACCAGCATATTGGCCTTTCGAAAGCACAACACCACAAAAATTTACTTTATACAAGTAAGCTCTTGGAGGGATCCAAGACGTAGACAGAGATACCAATGGTGGTAAGGGTTTTCGTGCATCGTTTGACAGTTGAAAATAATCTAAATATTCTCTACATTCTCTGATTATAGTAGTAGGATCTTTCAAAGAATCAGAATGGACAAAGTCATTTCGGTTTTTTCAAATCATCCAACATTGAACTAGAAATAAAGGAAACTCCTCTAGTGCATGTCCTTAACCCACTGTGTCCAGTAACCGGTGAATTAGGACACATTCAAATTTAAAAGAGGATGAAATACGATAATTAATTTTAAAAAAATGTGAAATATAATTATTAGAGATTTGAGTAAAAATTTAGAATCTCCCTTGGGCTTTGAAATTTTTTTAAAATTTAGTTTTACTCAAATTTAAATTTGATTCGAATTTGAGTAAGAATTAAAGATGCTCTTGGCTAAAGAGTCTAAGAGAGTGTGTTTATGATTTATAACACTCAGTGGGTTATCTGGCTATTATTGATATGTCAAGAACCGTCTTGTGATTTGACCAAATATGAAGGGTTCTGTGAAAAGTTTTCCCTGGAAATAATGGATGCAAAGAAAGTCAAACAAGAGACGAACAGACCGAAGAGTTTCGATTGTGAAACACACTTCAAGTTCAAAATGTAAAAGTTGGTAAATTTACGGTCAAACACACACACACACACATTGTGGACCCGAAGGAAGAGACGAGGAAAGCTACTGTATTTGCATATAACGTATGGACCACTAAAGAGTAATTGACTCACAAAAGATGGGTCATTTCTGTAATCTAATCTAAAGCTGACCAACAAGCTTCCTCTCTGTTTCTCTCTCCGTGTCAAGTGTGGGGAAAAGAAAAAAAAAAATACAGCCGTTGCAATTAGAGAGAGAGAGAGAGAGAGAGAGAGAGAGAGAGAGAGCTATTGGTGTCCTAGCAGAATCAAAGCAAATAGAGGGAGAAAATGAACTGAAGTCCATCAGCTCTCAGATTCAATCGAATTTCTAACTGCCCTTGGCTCTGTAAGTTTTGATCTTTCTCTCTTTCTGAATTTTTGTTGGCCTGTTTGATCATGTTGAAAGAGAGAGAAAATTCCAGCGACTCCCAGAGAAAGCTTAGAGAGCACATTTCTGAGGAAAAAGATGAGAACCAAGATGGGAAAATCAGATTTCCTGAAAGGGTATCAATTTTCTGAGAGAACCAGAGATGGCTTGTGATGTATCTGAGTCAAAACCCTCAAAAACAGGCAATTCTGGCTCACAAGAGCTGACTCTGAGTTATCTTTGTGATAATTCCAAACTGAGTTTTCCCGAGAAAGAAGTTTCCGGCAAAATTCTACAGAATTCCTTTGAGAAAGTGAGTTACAAAGGAAAAGAAGTAGTTTGTGAGGATCAAAATGAAGAAAACGATAGATGGGTAGAGAGAGATTTTCTTCAATTGAATGATAATAGAGGGAATTCATCCAAAAGAGAGGTCGAAAATGAAGAAACTGATGTGGAAAATCGGGAGAAAAGGCCAAAGCTAGAGACTCTTAATCTTTCTCTAGCTTTGCCTGATGTGTCTCTCTCTCTAGCAGCTTCAAATCCAATGCAAAATGGTGATCCTCCAGCGCGGTCTAGGCCTAGTAGGAGTGTTCAGTCTTTGGGTCCATCAAATAATCATACTCAAACCACTTACTCTAATGATTTCACGGCGACTTCGCTGTCTTATTCTTATTCCCACCCGTTTTCCCACAACCCTAGTTGCTCGCTCACCCGGAATTCGACTGAGAATTATGAATATTCGGTAGGAAGTCATAGGAGAGATTGTGATCAAATATGGAATGGTGGGGAGGGGACTAATGGGTCGGTTCATAGTCGATTTAGGCCGATTGGAGATGGAGTTGCTTTGTCTAACCATGGTGGTGGAGTGTTTCCTTTGATGCCGGGTAATCACTCAACCAATAAGGATAACAGTCTTTATCGGACACTGAGCTCGGAAAATCATTCATTTTTTCCCTCTGAATTGCCCGCTAGGCCGAGATTGGACATGCACTCAGGTGATTCAAGAGGAAGAGGCTCTGAGCAACTGAGAGGTTTGGAGAGTTTAGATGGAGGGAGAGCACGTAAGCTCTCTAGACCTGAGAGGATCCTTCGAGAGATTGTGTTAGAGTCTATTCCTGTCATGGCTCAGATAATTCAGGAGCTTCCGGATGAAACTGTTGATTCAACAAAAGAATACCTGAAGAGTCTCATTGCAAAGCCTGAGAACAAAGAAGAATTAGTGGGCCTCCGGAACCGGCTAGAGAGAAGATCCGACCTTACCAAGGAGACCCTCTTGAAGTCCCATAAAAACCAACTTGAAATTTTGGTTGCAATAAAAATGGGTCTTGCGAGCTTCTTATCTAGCCAAAATCGACTTCCCACAATTGAGCTGGTGGAGATATTCTTACTCGAACGATGTCGAAATGGTAATTGCAGGAGGTTATTACCTGTTGATGATTGTGACTGCAAGATTTGCTCAACAAAAAAGGGATTTTGCAGTGAATGCATGTGTCCTGTCTGTTTGAACTTCGATTGTGCCAATAACACTTGCAGTTGGGTTGGCTGTGACGTATGCTCCCACTGGTGTCACGCAGCCTGTGGCATTCAGAGGAATCTCATAAGACCCGGGCCAAGCTTAAAGGGGCCCTCAGGGACAACTGAGATGCAGTTTCACTGCCTTGGATGTGATCATGCTTCAGAGATGTTTGGGTTCGTTAAGGATGTGTTTATGTCTTGTGCAAAGAACTGGGGTCTAGAAACCTTGATGAAAGAGCTTGATTGTGTTAGGAAAATCTTTCGGGGTAGTGAAGATTTCAAAGGCAAGCAGTTGCATGTTAAGGCTGATGAGATGCTGGCCAAGCTGGATAATAAAATGATTTCTCCTTCAGATGTCTGCAGTTTCATCTTCCAATTTTTCAACTGTGAGTCCCCAGACTATATCTTATTGCTCCTAGTCTTCTACTGAATTGTCACTTCTTATCTGAGGAGGTAAAACAGATGATTCCTTACAAGTTTCTTTGAAAATTGCTTTGGTCTGTCTCGTTGATAGTTGAACAAATTGTTTGAATAATAAGAATTTAACAGATTTGTGGTCTATTTATTTTTCTTTGTGTTTTCATTTTGGACTTTGCTGCTGAAATATATACTTTTGGGTCAAAACTGATATTTTATGGTGATCATCAATATTATGCTAATGTGTTTTTCTAGTCATCTGAAAGCTAAAATGACGGTTGTTATTTGGGAAAGATAATGCTAATATTTCACAACAGAAATGATCAGCATTTTCTGAAAATAATATAAATTCGTATTTTGTAGACTGTAGTATATATAGTTTCATCCTGTATTGGATGAGAAAGTGACTTGATTAATGAACCTGGCTTGACATGCGAATAGACAAATCATAGCGCCTCATTATCTGAGATCTAGGTCTGCTTCTTTTGTCTACTCGGCATTACGAGGAGGTCAAAATATATCCATGAGAAAGATTTATATTGGTCTGCGAGCTTGGTAACTGGATGGGTTTAAATATGAGAGACACCTTTATGTACAATAACTATGTACTCAGTTCATTCCTCATGACACCTTTGTTGAGGAGGACCAAATTGGGTAATTACCTTTAATGAAATGTTTGAAGAACAATGAAAAAAGGGCCACTAGAATAATAGGCATTAAATTCTGCATATCCTTGACTAAAACTAATGAGACTTGTGAAAGCATAAGTGCATATTTTTTGATATGAAAATAGAACTATGCCCTTTATCCCTGTTCAGGGTCATATCTGTGTTTAGTATCCCATAAGGCACTTTTGCACAGCCTGGATAAACTTTTGACCCTCTTTATCACAATTTTTCCTTTTAACTTAAAGAAAATTGCTTTACCATATTGATCAATCATTGGTCCTGCTGATGATGAACTGTCTTAATTAACCTGTTCTTAAAATCTTATGCTCAATTGGTGCTGCTGCTAACCAACTTCTCACAGTTGCATTTTTCTCTTTTTATCCATTGTTCTGCTACTGTTCAACCATTATGTCACCTGTATAGGGCTGAAGTCTTTTTCTTCAAATGTTTCTTGATTGCCTTATATCGAAACCATAGCTAGCTGTAAGACCATCGGATGACGTTTCCCCTGCAATCTATTAGATGTTATAAGTTGCATAATGCACTGTGGAGTTTCCCTCTCCACTCTCTGTATCCTCTGGCTCAGTAAAGGATTTAGGGGCTTTGCAGGCTGTAGGTCGAACTGCCCAGCTAGGGTCCATTTCTTGGGTCAATCAAGCAGACTGCTCTGATAAAAAATCAGAATTTGGAATATTGGCTGGTTCATATGTTGAATTGTTTGTAAAAGCCTGCAAAGCAAGTATATATATGTTTGAGTGACATGGAACTGCTACATGGTATATTCTTTCAACTATTTACTAGCAATAAGTGAGTGCCTGAAGGCATTCTATAATACCAAAAATCGAACATCGTGGAAGTTTTACATTTTAAATAATAATTTATTTATTTTTTTAATTAGACAATTTAAAATTAAGGTGAATAGAGAGAAAAATAGGTGTAGATTAATGAGATAGTCTGGTATTGGGAAGTGGGTTGATTAAGTTGTTTGACATTGGAGGTCATGTAGAGATGATATTTTTGAGCTAGAAAATAAATCTGGGGATGAATTTTATGCCGTTGGATCAAAGTAGATGAAAATTGAATCAATGTTGGCCGTTGTTGTGCTCTTATAAGTTGATAATTCAACTTTGTAACTGTATGGTAAGAGTAGGGGTGTCAATCGTGTTGGGTTAAACGGGTGACGGGTGAAAAATATATAAACCCATACACGACAAGTTTAATAAACAGGTAAAAAATCTCAACACAAACATGACCCGTTTAATAAACGGGTAACACGATACGACTCGTTTAATTTAAAAAAAACTATATCAACAAATATTAATACTCTATTTTTTTTACTACCAATTGCACTAACCTCAAAAAAGAGGAATTTTTAGTCAAATCTAATAAAAATAAGACTTGAAGGCTTAAAAAAAATAAAACAAGAGGCCATTGCCTTTTATAGGCAACTCAACCATCTACATCTCCCCTTATTTTTCAATGTGGGACAAAAATAAAAGGCATTGGTTTGCCTTTGTCTTTGAAGGGCTCCACATCTCCTCTTCTTTGTCTTTGAACTACTACTTTACTTCTCTTTTTTTTTATTGATTTCTTTACTTCTTTGTTTGTTGTTAATTTTTTAAAATAATTATTAATTTATTATTATATTAATTTTATTTAAACTGGTAAACTTGTAATAAATGGTTTGACAGGTCTTATCCAAACACGATCCGTTTATTAAACGTGTTTGACGTGTCAACCCGTTTATCACCCAAACCCGTTAAGATCTCACCAAAACCCGCTTAATTCGTGTCGGTTAATCGTGTCGTGTCGGATTTTGACAACCCTAGGTAAGAGATGAAATTAGAGTGGTGAATTTATGGCGAAATATTCAATTTGAAGGAACGCAAAAGACAATTCTATTGTTTGATACACTTGGAAAAAAATTCTACTTTACATCTTCTATGCACAAGGCCCGAGATAGTAGCGAGGTAGCCCTATTCCCTTATTCCCCCTAAAAACATACCCTACAAATCCCAGTTACAAAGAAGAACCAATGGATAGTTAGGACAAGCTTTAAATTGAGGTTAGGGAGTAGCAGGCTACTCCCGCCTTCAGATAGTTGCAAGTTCATCTCCTTCCAAAAAAACAGGTCAGCTGTAGATAGAGTAAAAAATTATTTTTGACAAAGCCTTTAGAGAGAGAGAAATACTAACTTGGCATACTTTGATTAACATCTACTAAATCGGTAGAATGAGATTTGTTAAACAACCATTTACTCTAAAAATTTAAGTTGTTGGAGAGAATATAATTTAAGTATTTATATTTCAAGACCCCCTCACGTGTTGGCTAGACTTTGGGCCTAGCACGTGGAAATCTTTTTAATAATTAGGGTGACGGCGAGATTTGAACACACGATTTCCTACTTTGATATTATATTAAATAACCATTTACTTCAAAAATTTAAGTTTTTTAACTTAAGCTATTGGAGAGGGTGTAACTTAAGTATTTATACTTCAACAAGATTGAAGAATGTAGAGGACTGAAAAAATGGTAAATTGCACCAATGGTTCCTGAGGTTTGCCACTAATTGAATTCACAATTGAAATAACAATTAAGATTGAGTTATAGTGGGTAGAGTGGTCGGTGGTGGGATAGGGGTTGAAATAGAAAAAATGGGGGTTGGGGAGAAACTAGCACTAGGCCGGGTTTTTTTTTTTTTCTTGGGGGAGGTGAGGGGGTTGGTTGTGTGCTTTGTGATATTATATTTAATATATTTATGTTACACTTATACCCTTTATTTTGCAAACAAAAAGACATAAATGCCCTCAATTGCCTCGTGTGTCACTGACTCAAGTGGTAGTGTGAGGGACCACATTGTGCAATGTGTAAACGTTGAGTACTAAATTGACAAAATTAAAACTTTAAATATTAAAGCTCAACTAATGGTAAACCATAGAGCTATTGGTGTAATTTACCCAAAAGAAATCACTGTTGAGTATACTATGTGCATGTGGGGCTGGGATGGGCATTCTTGTCTTTCCATTTTCTTTAACCTGTGATTTGACAAGGCAGCCAAAGAAAGACATTTAATTTCGATTGCCAGCTAGGTCTTCAGTTCAATGAAGAAGGTATAAAGGCCTGGGGGTGAGGAATCCACTACTCAGTATTTGATCAAAACTAGAAATCACGCTCTAAGTGGCCTCCTTGAGTCCCTGGCCTCATGGAGGTAGGCCACAGAATGCAGAGCAAACAGTCTTGCAGATTGTCATCCCTAGTTACTACAGTAATTACATGTTTATATAAAAGATGGGGCGGGGGACTTTTACCCTGAGTAGGGAAAATTTCCAATTTAGTTTCCTTTAATCGATTTGTAAGATTCACACACTTAACTTAAGGATTATGTTTTGATTAAGAAATTTTGAAACGAGCAGAAAATTGTACAGGCAGATCCTCTGGGAAACAGTAGTAATGTAATATGTTGCTGTGACAATTTACAAGGTCAATTCTTAATATTTTAAACCTTTTTAACAATGCACATTACTCCCTAGAAATCTGGACTAACAATTGTGTGTGTGAGCTTCTATCACTGGGTGGAGGCATCTGATCTGTGAATTAGGCACATTGTATTTTGACATAACAGGGCCAGTTTTCTTACTTCTTGAGCTCACAATTCTCGTGGCCGGGCAACATTAACTGGAACGCATTCCAAACAAGAAACTCTTTCTTTTTGGTTTGTGTTTTAGTGTTCCACATGCAACCTTCTGTTTTGACCTCCAATCAAAAGAGTACAATAGTGCTTCATTGGTAAATTTTCTGCAATTACTATTAAGATAGCATTTTGAATATGTGAAAACCGAAGCAAATCCAACCTAATTCACATCTATTTATTTCAGTTATTGATAAAATTATTGTTTCATTTTGCGGAAAAAAAAGTATAATTCACATCTGGATTCTATGTTGCTGCTACATCCAGTGACGCTTTACCTTGTATTTTAAAGCTTCTGACATGACAATAACCTTTAATTGTGATGTTTATACAATCAGAAAATTTTTTGCACTCAAAGAATGTTGAAGGGTCCTTTACCCCTGTAACTTTCATGAACATTCACAATCTTTCTCTTTACAAGAGCTTTCATCCCGTTCTGTGTCTCTGGCTTATAAATTTTCTTTTCTATCTTGTATGCCTTATTTCTCAAAATTTTGTGGCACAATCACATCTAACTTGATGGTTTCATGTGACACACAGATACAGATGGCTTGGCAGATTTTCCTTGTACCAATGTTGCTTCACAAGACCTGATGGCAACTCAAGCTAGCCTTAAAAAAGATGCAACCCCTCTGCCACCATCTATCTCTCTCCCCACAAAATCTTCCTTCTACAACATGAGCCCTTCAAGAGAGAGGCAGGAATTGCTGCCTCTTGATCTTCATCAGAACATCCCAAAAGCAGCTCCCCTCATGAGCGGCAAAATGATTGAAGATGAGTGGTCCGTAAAGCAACCAAAGAGAGATGGCTTTGACAGCTTGGAAAGCATTGTGCGGATTAAGGAAGCGGAAGCCAGAATGTTCCAGAGCCGGGCAGATGTGGCACGGAGGGAGGCAGAGGGTTACAGGCGCATGGTTAGGATGAAGAGTGATAAATTGGAAGAAGAGTATGCTGAGAAGCTATCCAAGCTGTGTTTGCAGGAAACTGAGGAAAGGCGCAGAAAGAAGCAGGAGGAGCTCAAAAATCTGGAAAACTCGCATTGCGACTATTACAAGATGAAGATGAGAATGAAAGCTGAAATTGCAGGCTTGTTGGAGAGAATGGAATCCACAAAGCAGCAGTTGGTGTAGCCATTTTCTTTCTTTCTTTCTTTCTTTCTTTAATTATTTCCAGTGAGATTGGTTACAATGAGATGACAATTGTTGTTCTTTGTGTTTATTGCCTTTTCTGAATTTTTTTTGGTTCTTCAAATGGAAATTGCATGTTGCTTTTGCTGTACTATTTTGATATTCTTTTCATTTTCCTCTACCTTTCAACTAGTAGCCTAAAGTTCAAATTGATACTAGATTAAAGTGGTCCAGGACATAATTTTCAAATTTGGAAGAGCTTATAATATAGACCCCATGTATAGATGTTGATTGGAGGCTCCATTGCCCTTTCCTGCTCCCCGTGTTCCTTCAACCCTGTTCTTTCCAATTTTGATTTTTAATGCGATCTATTATAAAGAAAATTAAAGTGTGTTTAGTTGAGCGGGTTCATCTTTAGTTGGTATCTCCTCAACAGGCTGGACATTGTCCTCGAGCCTTGGAGGTGATCCTCCCGTTTTTTGGTCTTCACTATCAAGTTGTCTACATAACATTGCCCGTTCTTATTGAGTATGTTATTGAAGATCTTTTGCATGGTGCGTTGAAAAGTAACACTAGCAGTCTTCAATCTGAAAAAAGCATCATCTTAAGATAAAAAATTCGTTTAAGGGTATGGATGACAGTTTAGCTCCATATTTTCGTGTGTCATCTCTATTTGTTTATATCCGGCACAACCATCTATGAAACTTAACTTGGATTGAAGGTGCAAGGGACAAGGTTTTTATCTTTTTTGAACCGTGCACAAGTTCATTTTTGGATTTTTGCTCTTTGTTTTCTTTTTCTAGAGCAATGCCATGATTTGAGATGGATCCTAATTACATATTATGTTGCCAGCCACAAAACTTAGCATATTGCATGTGTTTTGAAAAGTTTTCCAAGCAAGAATATTCATGGCCAAGCATTAGCAAATCCACTTTGATGGGTTAAGCCCAAATAGTCCAATTTATGTATTAAAGCCCAACCCCGGTTGAGGAGCCCAACCTCATCGTGAACCCACCAAGTCCAAGACAGACCAAGGCCGGCTAGACTTCTTGCTTAGCACGTCACCAAGAGGAGAGTACGGTTGGATTTCTTGCTTAGCACGTCACCAAGAGGAGAGTACGGTTGGACTTCTTGCTTAGCACGTCACCAAGAGGAGAGCACGGGAAGTTTATCTACACCGCCTTAGAGAGCCCAAGGCCGGTTGGACTTCTTGCTTAGCACGTCACCAAGAGGCCAAGGCCGGTTGGACTTCTTGCTTAGCACGTCACCAAGAAGAGAGCACGAGAAGCTTATCAACGGTCCAATCTTTGACCACGTTTCCTTCAAGAGTTCCCCAAACTCTTCCTTCCGTTGAGGATAAGTCGTGATTTCCACCGAAGATAATCTCTAAGCTGCGATAAAGAAGCCTTGAGGATATGTTATGATCTCCACAAGAATGATCTCTTATCTACTATAAAATGGCTCTAATCTGGGAGAGGAATGACACATGCTCCATCAGAGACTTTCAGAAGACGAACCGACTACCGGAGATTATTGTTTTTCTCTGATTCTCCATTCCCCCTCTCAAAGCTTGTATCTCCGTTCTCCATACCTTTGAATCAATAAAATACCCGGCGACTGAAGCCATTGAAGAGTGGACGTAGGTCGAATTGACCGAACCACTATAAATTGTGTCTTCTTTAATTTTCTCATTGATTTCATTGCATTTATTATCCATACTTGACAGGTGGTGTGCAAAACCATTTTTGTGCATCATCACACTTTTCAATGAACGAAATGTTTATCAACTTTTTCAAGCATGTTGTTCCAGTACTTTGTTAAGCATGATTTTGATGATAACAAACATCATAATATGAACTAATGTGGGCATTCGTGTGTAAGTCAAAGTTACACACCATGAATATTATACAAGGTCTCACAATCTTTACTAAGAATCTCACGGAAGGAGAACGGTGAGCCCAACAGATATTCTGAACAGGAGAATTGACAGTCCGGTGAAGTTCACTATGAGTGCTTCTTGATTGCGTCCTAGGCCTTGGATAAGGAATTTCTCAACCAAGCCTGTTTCAGCAGTTAGAATTGCCATGAAGAAGATGATGATACCAAACAACACATGCCACGGAGCGAGCTTAGTCTTTGTTGAGGATTCTGTACCCGGGTACAAGAAGGAGAAGGCGGCAAAGAGAAACTAACAAAGAATTTAAACTTTTGGTTAATATTGAATGTTCAATTGATTAGAGACTGGTGAGTTCTAAATTTTTTTGTAGGAACAATTTCTTCAAGATGATGAGCAAGATTTGGTTCAAAACAAAAGGGTAAATTGTACTTCAAACCCCCTTAACTATGACTTTGGTCTCACATTTCTCCCTCAACTATTGACTTTTTTAGATTGTACCGTCAATCAGTTCAATTAATTTTATATTGCCCCTAGAGCTAAATGTCCGCCATGTTTTTTGACAGAAAATGTCCACTTGTGTATACCGGTGGAGTCAGAAAATCGTATTACGGTGGATACAAATATTTTAATATTTTATTCTTACAATCGATAGAAATAAGATAATAATTTATATTTAATTATATCATATTTAATACTTAAAAGTTCATAATAAACCTAATAGACTAAAAATTAGTAAACCTAGTGTATACAAACAGTAATAAGAAAAAAAAAAGACTAATTTTATCATTTGACAAAATATAGACTAATTAAAATCATTTAGAATTGACTTTGATGAATTTTTAGTTTTGGAAACCATTGCATAACAAATTTATTATTCTTTATATACACAATCATATTATCACTTCGATATTTATCACTCATTTTATTATGCAGCTCAATGTGCAATCTATAATGTCTATTGTAATTAGTAAAATAAATGTCAAAATCACAAGCAAACTATCTAATATGTATTTCTTGTCTTTTCTAGTCTTAGAAATAATAAAATGATTCTAGTATATTCAAAATTTATCTAGATAGGTACACAACATATCCAAAATGTGTCAAAAAAATTCATATTCATGTGATATAAGTGTACATTGTGATATAAGTGTACATTAATTGATGTGCCAAAAAAAAATAGGGTGTGTATAATTAAAAATATTGAATAAATATTTAAAATATATATAGATAATATTAAGAAAAAAAATTGAGAATGCATTCAACCGAGTTCTATATTCACTCCTAGTCTTTGGTTTTGGTGGTGGGCCCAAATTTCTTTTTTTTTGTTTTTGTTTTAAGTGGGTTTGGTTTTTTAATTCTTTTGGGTGGATAGTGGTGTGCCTACTACTTTTGTTTTTGGTTTTGAGTGGACACAAGTAATATATTATACAAATATATAATATATATACATAGGTAATTAAAAAAAAAATTTGAGGGGGGTCACTTGCCCACCCTGGACCAAACTTAGCTCTGCCCTTGCTTGTGTAGTAAAATAAAGCTTTCTTATGTTGAAACTCAGGCAATGTAAGACCAATTACTATAGTTGGAGGTCTTAATGCAAGGAATGTGAAAGTTGAAGTGGTCAAAGTGTAAGTTATTTACTAAATAGAAGATGGTACCTGCAAACCAAAGAGGCAGATGGTAGACATGCCCAGCCAGGAATGCAAGGTGTACATATCTGGATTTCCAACCTCATGGTGAAACTTGAAAACAGCATAAATCCCCAGAATTCCACAAATGGGAGCAATAAAATGCAATGTCAAATGAAATACTTTCTGCACCTCTTTTTTTGCTGGGACAGTCTTGTATGCCATGATAGCTGTTTCAAAACATGTTCAGTTAATTTACGGTATATGCTAATTTTGGTTGCCCCTTTCAGACATTTTGGTTGATAGCTGTTTCGAAATGTTTTGACTACAAGCTTAAAAAAAAACAAAGAGAAAAGTATTTTGACTCTTTTAAGTCATGCAATTTGGTTTGACAAGTTTCTATCTGATGAGAGTGTTTCTTCACAAGCAGAGCATACAATACAGAGCTTGACAGCCTCTTACAACTAAGGAAAACCTACAAACACTCAGCAATATCATTTATTCAGAGTTTATCCTGATCAAATCTTTCTCTTTAATATACTATTTTCAAGTTCATATTTACCATAAATCTTGTTTAACAGAGATAGGCTAACATAGCACTGACTAGCTAGACAGTCAAAAAAAAAAAAAAAAGAAAGGGGAAAGAGAAAAGGAGGAGAGGGGGTATGGTGGAAACACTCACGAAAAGACTGCTTGTGCTTGATATTTTGGTGGGATTTCTTCAGTTAGATGAAAAAAGCTTCTTAATAAACCTCTATGAAACCTACAAGATAACACTTTCTTACCTTCCCCAACTACTAAAACAAATCCAATGAACATTAGAAAAGGGTGCACCTGTAAAACAATGCCAAAGAAATCAAAACACTGCACATCAGACCTCAAAGCAGTATAGAAACAATCCAGTAAATAGTAGGTAATAGGCATAGGAACTACATTGAAAATCTTTGCTTTGATGTTGGATTTGAAAGCTAGGCCTTCCAGGAAATGCAAGAGCCAAACAAAAACAAGAATTGTCACTGCTATGACTATCAGATGTGCAAACACAGTGACTGGTAACACAGACACTTGATAGCTTGGACGACTTTTAGACGCCATTGCAGCCCAATGTACAAGGGGAAGTGGTTATACAGAGAGTTCTAACTAGATGGCCTTGATATATTCAATATATAGAAGGTGAAAATGCACACAGTTACCAGTCCTGCATTAACTTTATTCCCAAAATGCTTCAAAACTTAGTTAAACACAATTTGAAATTCACAAAGACTCTTGTTTCTTAGAGGATAATGAAAATTGCACTTTGAACCTCTCAACTATGACCCTGGTCTTACTTTGCTCCCTCAATTATTGAGTTGTCACATTGTTTCAATTACTTGAAAATTGGTTTTGATGGTGTGTGTTGCACAATTGAACAGAGCATATAATCTTTAAGGATTAGTGGGTCAATACTCAGTCGGAGCTCCTATGCTCTTAAGACTTGAACAAGAGAGATGGGGAATTGCACACAACGTGTTTATAGTAGTTCACTAGTTCGGGAGCTCTGTTAATCCACTCTCAAGGAAGTCTCTTGCTCCTATGGATGATTTTATTGATAAAAGGGAGAAGATTATATAGAGTATATGATTAGGCTAATTGTTTATTCTTCATTGTGAGGGATATGTCTCTTATTTATAGTTTTCTATGGCCTTGTCTGATCTTTAGCCTAATTTTTGCTCCTCCTTATAACGACTGCGCCTTTTATGTGATTGTCATGGAAATCGTTGAGGCAGTTGCGATTTCCTATTCCAAGTACAAGACTGTTACGATTTGTGCATTGCGCTTGGTTGGAAGTCAGTTGTCATCCTTGTTATTCCTATGGGGGTGCAGTTGCTGGGGAGAAGGTGCTAACTTGGAACCCTCAAGTTATTTGTGATAAGCTAAATGATCCGAGCTTAGAATGTTTGAACTGAACGTCCGAGCTCAACTTGAACTATGATTTGGGTATCATCAAGTTTGATACTATTCGATTCATTTTTTGGATAGGAAATGTTTACATATGTAGAAAAGTACACGTTTTCAATGTCTAAAATTTTTAAAATGTGAAATTAATAATCATAATTGAAGATACAAAGTGAAATGGAAAAAATAATAGAGAGGGTCAAAGTGTAATTTTTCCTAGGGGTAAATAGCAACAGATTTGTAGTTCGGTGAAACCCTCAAGCCGGCGATGACAAAGCTTAGCTGTCCAATGTTTTTGGCGTACGTTGATGCGTTTTTTGTATAGTTTTGTGGGTTTTGGAAGCACTTGCTTGAACCAAAAACATGCCAAGTGTTAATCCATTCAAGTCATATGAGTTTGAATTCAGAAACCAATCCTTCAAACTGTGCTAGAAGGTAATCCACAAAATATTCAGAAACAATAGTCCACTTCCCGTATGCTGTTGGATTTGAACAGAGTATGCTCTCCTCCAATGGCTGGATCTACCTTCTTAATTGATCATGATTGCGTTATCACCGGAACCAATGGTATTATTAAAGACGATGGCAGAGGATTGGTCATGAACAAAGAACCTCCAGATCGTGGTTTCCAGTCGGATTCTGAAATAAGCAATACTGTGGACCTAGAAGAGAGTTCCTTATCACCTTCGATACCCGATCCCCGAGAGGAAGCTGAGGTGATGAAAGATATTTTAAGTGATTAATATCATTCTTGTTTATAGATTGACAGAAAATTTTCAACATATCTCAATGATTAGTTTTATTTCTTGGAATATTTCCCCAAGTAGACTTAAAAAATCAGTAAGAAAGCATGATGCTTGTTTAGTTTCTTTGCTTGAGCCTTTGCCTAGTTGTGGATGATGGGACATTTTTAGACACTTTCAGATGATGATATGTATATTCGGCGTCAATGGAGACACCTGTTTTAATACTGACACGTCTTCGTGATTTTTTAGCTCTCTTGTCCCGAGGATACTATTTACAGGGATCAGAGATCCCCAAACCACCATGGACCGACACGTATTCCTCGGCAGTTTTAGGTACATCGGTCCTAAATCATGCTAGTCCCTCGGCACTAAGGGGTATCTATCGCGTCAACGTTTCTACACCTATAGGAGCTATTGATGGACATATCACTAGCCTAGGCAAGGCTAGACTAGCCATCATGACCTCGTCTTACTCAAATGGTGTCAGGAGACACAAGAAAGCAGAAGGCTCAACCAAAGGGGAATGGACACGTGGCGTATTATGTCAGATCAGAGAAAAAAAGACCAGAATGCCCTTGCTGACACACGACTTGAGAAAGCAAGTATTTAATGCACATTTCCCTTGATGAAACAACATTTAATGCATGAGAGCTCGGAAGTGAAAGGTAATAAATATCCCAAAGCCTAGGCATTTAATACACCCCCGTCGAGAGAAAATCATTAAACGTTTGGCAGACCGAGGAGAAAACATTAGTTGCTCGGGGCCCCGAGCAGTAAAGAATAAGATCATTACTTATAGAAATTGGTGTGCACGTTGCCCACTCCCAATGATTACCTACTAGCTACGCTGTTAGCAATGATGAGCTTTTAAGGTATAAATAGTCCTCACAAACACAGAGAAGGAGTACGCAACTAACCCTCTCTCAACCATCGTACAATGTTTTCTTCTTTTCCTCTCTAAAAGAATTGACTTGACCGTCGGAGGGGATACGCCGAAAAACACTCCGGCGCTCTTCTAACCTGTTTTCCTTTGTTTCAGGAACCTCCTTCAGTTTTTTAGGATCACTCAGGCAACTCGTATCAACGATGGATTATCCACTTTTGACCCTCACAACCTGTTCAACTAGCAAGACCAACCACCCAATTTCGGGCATGTGTTCACCACAAAAGATATCTGTTCTAGTGTTTATATTATGCAGGATTTTGCACCCACAATCTCGCGCTGTCTGTGGGAAATGAGTAGTTTTCCTAGTTTCTTCTCTAGAAAGAACAGTGACCATGGTGAATACTCGACAGAAAGGGAAAGGTCCCTAGCAAAGAAGTCTCGAGTTGCAAGCTCCTCGTCATGTTGTGAGGGGGCATCACACTGATGACAACAAGAACGTTTCTATTCATTCAAGAGGGCATACTCCTCCTCAAACCAGTATGGGCATTAGATCAGGAGGATCCGCTCCCTTGGCTCGTCAACTAGTGGAGGTGATTAAAGAAAAATTTGGGGATCGCCTACGATGGTTAGAACAAGATAATGTGAATGTCCTAAGCTGGCTCAATGAATTTGCCGCCTCTGGCGAAGGATCGGGGGACTCATTCTGTTGCCACGGATACCCCGTCCAGAAAGCAAAAATCGAGGACCTGAGGAATCATTTGAACAACAAAGTTGAGAGCTCTAGGGTCTTGAAGCGCCCGAGGGCCGATGATCACCCCCTCAACGGTCATTCCAAAAAGGCAAGGTCTTTGGCTTGGGACGACCTCCGACGGGGACTGTCAAGGCGGGGGAAGGGAGATGAGTCCGAGGAGGATTCGACCCTTTCCGCACGACGCCCAGAAAAGGGGAGCCCCGTCAATGACCTTGGAAACTTCAGAAGACATCCTTCCGAGGTGGAGACTGATCTTAGAGCCCGGTTGAAATCCTGGAGAAGGGGCAAGGCCGTCCAGGATGACACCGAAGATGAGGCCATGCAATCGCCGTTTACCAGGGATATCCAAGATATGGAAGCACCAAAGAAGTTCATTGTGCCAAGGTTTAAAACTTATGATGGGCGATCCGATCCCGAGGCTCACCTCAGGCAGTACAAGCAAATGATGTTCCTGTATCATTCGGACCAACGAATCCTCTACCGTGTGTTCTCCATGAGTCTGGGAGATTCTGCGATGAAATGGTTCGAGACTCTTCCTCCCAACAGCATTGGGTCATGGAAGGAGTTGGCGAGGCAGTTTGTAGCCTGATTCATTACCGGGAACAAACGACCCAAAGACATTGGGTCATTACTAACGTTCAGGCGCAGGGAACAAGAAATCCTTCGCTAGTACGCCACCCGGTATTGAGAGGAGGTCAATGAGGTAGAGGGGTGTTTAGAGGTCATGGCAGCCGCATCCTTTAGGCTCGGCCTGGCAAGGGATATAGACCTGTACCGATCCCTGACTAAGAAGACTTCCTTATATATGTACGAATTGATGACCCGAATAAATAAATACTCTAGGATTGAGGATGGAATGGGGGGTAACAAAGGTAGAACTCTCCCACCAAGAAGAAAAGAGAGAGCGGGGGACACCTCCCGAAAAGGGCTGGTACCCCCTCCAGGGGGGTCATTCAAAGGTGTTCACACTGTCTTCAAAGAACCCATTTATAAGTTACTCCATAAAATCAAGCATGAGCCGTTCTTCAAGTGGTCGCCCAGGATGCAGGGTGATCCTTCCACCTGTGATCAAAAGGTCAAGTGTTCCTATCACCGGGATTTTGGCCATCGCACCAAAAATTACAGGGTATACAAGTCTTTCTTGGAAGGGCTGGTTCAGGACGGTTACTTGAAAGAATACGTCGAACCCAAGTCAGAAGAGAGACGCGGTCCTGCCCCGGCCGTGGAGCAAGACAATGTCATAGACGTGATCCATGTATGTCCACTGGATCGCCCGACGTCCAAGGAGCTTGAGTCCAATCTCAAGAGGGTAGCCTTTACAAGAAAGGTTCTCCGAAAGCGATAGGGGTCAGCCCAACAAGAGGGCCAGAATTGGCGAGCCGGGTATCACTTTCTTCGACGCAGATTTGGCAAGCGTGGTGACTCCCCATAACGACGCCCTAATCATAACTCTAAAGATAGGTAAGTTCGACGTCAAGAGGGTGTTGGTGGAATCCGAAAGTTCCTCGGAAGTGATGTACTCAGAGACTTTAAAGCGGATGAGTTTTAGCCTTAAGGACCTCACTAAGGTCAAGACACCCCTCGTTGGATTTAACGACTCATTTGTCATGCCCATAGGCAAAATCACATTGCCAGTCCTCACGGGTCCCTTCACCATCAATATTGAGTTTGTTGTGATTGATTCGGACTCTCCCTACAATGTGATCATAGGGCGAACTTGGTTGCATGCACTGGGAGCGGTGCACTCCACCTATCACTAGAAGTTGAATTTTGCTAC